TTGGATAAAAAAAATTCGGACTTCAAAATTTAAAATACAAAAATCTTTCTTAGTGAGCAAAATTCCCACTAATCGTTTTTCCTGTGCTCTAAAAAAATTCACCCCATACTTGGTGTTGAAGCGGTTGTGCCTCAGGGGTTTGGATTCATTTTAGAGTTACAACTCTCCACATCCAGGGTGCATGAGTCAGCCCAGGCTAGGAGGTGAGGTTTGTGGGGAACAATTAAAAATAGTGCATAATAATATGGAAAATAAAACGCAGGTGTGTTTCTAACCCAAAGGACATTTCCAGTAATTTAGTAAATTTAAAATTATCCTTTTTCGGTGGGTTCTAACCTTACTCTTTACCCTTTTAAACAAAAAGAAAAATAGGTACACTAATATTTCATAATGAAGACCAGTCTCTTGTCAGTACAGAGACACACATTTTGATTGTTTTCTTGGAGCACAAAATTTGTCAAAAACTATAAACCATTTCTCAATTTTTTTCTCAACTTGGTCATAAACTAAATGATTTATATAAAATTTCTGTTTCATCCAGACAATGCCAAAGACAAAGAAGAAGATTACGCCAGCCTCCTGATGGGCCATAAGAGGCCATCTGCACATCTTTTTCAGTTTTACATGTGAAGGTCAAGAAGAAGTTGAATATTATAGTGAAAGTACATGTAGCTGTGTGTCTTCATCACCATTCCTTTGAATTAATTTATTTATGTGACAAGTTCTTTTTTTGTATAGTGCTAGCTTCTGGAGTGCTTAAATTATTTGTGTATAACAATTAAACAGACATGCAGGCGTCATAAAGGCAATACATTTAAAGGTGTTACATACATTTTTATTAACCAGTACATGTGAAAGAGAAGTGAGGTGTTCAACTATGCTACTTTGCATGAAAAACCCACAGAACATGTCTATTTCTGTGATTCATCACCATTTATTTATACGACAGGTATAATTTTGGATTTAAAAGGGGTAGCTTCTTGAGTGCTTTAGTTTTGTATTAAATTTACATTTTACACATGCAGGTATCACATGTCAATATATTGAAAGGGTTATCGGGATGTACGTGATGAATGTGTTGACATTTTCTTTTAAGAGCATCACCGAACGGTAGATGAGGTTTGCTAATACAGTTGCCCAAGCATGATACACGTACAGAGTTAATATGTGCAACAACGTATGAGGAGTAACTGAACCCTCTCTTTAACTTTCCAACGACATTATAATTAGAAATTGCCATTGCTATGAAACAGCCATAGGATTTATGACATTTTTAACAATTTGTTCTCATTTGTTTGTGAAATTTAATTTGAACGTGAAACAATATGTATGTGGCCTGTATGTATCTGGCCTGCTGAGGCCTGTTCCCCCTCCCCTCCCGGCCCCCAGGTTCCCCCTACTGGATGTTGGTGCACACAAAATTAAGCATATTGTGTTTTTACCCTGAACAAATTGAAACACTCCCCCCCCCCCCCCACAAAAAAAAAACAGTAAAATGAAAAAAGGGGGAGGGAATAAACAAAAGTAAATAAATAATAATAATTAAATAAACAAATAATATTAATAAACAGTGCTCCCCTGCAGACAATGATTCAGTTCCAATTCATCCAGCCATGCAGTCACTTCCTCAAGTGTCATAGGAATTAAAATGATCCTGGAGAAAATATTAATTCAAATTCATAAATAGCTGGTCTGTGCTTATAAGTGAGAAAAAAACAACCAACTGGAGCAATTCGGTACAAGGTTTGTGTCTGGTTCTATCCAAAGTCAGAGTGTGTCTAAATAAGAATAAGACAACAACAAAAAGAAAAATATTAATGATTGCAAGATGATTGACAGAATGCACAAAAAGCAAGAAAGTCATTTAATTTTATTATTATTATTATTATTATTCTATAATTTCTGGTAATGAAACCAAGGATTCCTCAAAAGCACCCTAGGCACTGTAGCTCGCAAGCCTGAAGAAACCTGTGGAGAGAAGACAATGAGAAGAAGTTAGTTACAGATTGAAGCAAGTCAAATAATTATAACGTGAACAAAGATCAAACGAACAACTTCATGGAGTTACATTTTGTAAATTTGGACGCATTATAATGTGCAGACCTTGGCTCATGCACAGGGAAATATAATCCACATCTTTTCTTGGCTGGTTTCGGGGCAAAAACGATATAGATTTGGCCAGTAAACAAGGAATATTTTCAGTCCAGTCTCACAGAGGGCGCCGTTTGCGAAACCGGAAAACGTTTGCGGAACCTGTCAAAGCACCGACCTCTACAAAATGTCCTGGCAAATTTCTCTTTCAAACGATCGCAGAAAACTATTCATATCATGAAGTAGGTGAGTAATTTGCGCAAATTTATAGATAGGTAGCTTCCTGTGAAAGCGCGTTTTTTCGCCACAAGACGCTTCAGACGATTTGCGATTGCGGAACCGGTCAATTGACTGTAGTAACATGACGTCATGAACGATTTTCCGGTCAGTCGTTTTCGCGGTGCACAGGAAACATGTTTCAGGTCACGGCTGTGACGCCAGAAACATGTTCCAGTTCAAGGGCCGCCAAAACGTGCTCCTGGAGTTGAGTCAAGCTAAACAAAGAGATACTTACCTCGAAACCTAAATGACCCCTGCACTAGTCTACAGACAGTTGAATACTAGTAGGCTACCGGTACCGGGCGGTAGTAGGGTAGTAGTAGGCCGCCCTACGGTGTAGGTTTTATTTTTTAGTTTAAGAGCTCGAGCAAGCCGGACTCAAATTTTGCAACGCATGGGAGACTACCGCCGAAATAACGCCCTCTGTCGTCCGAATGCTAGAGTTCGCTGGTATAACATTTCGCTCGCACTGACCTGACTCAAGGTAGCCACGGATTCGGCCGGATTTCCGGCCGCGTATTCAACCGCGTATTAGCCGCGCATTCGCAAGAAGTAAAACAAAATTTATAACACATGCGGAAAAAGGTGATCTATTTTCCAGCACGACAACTTCATTTATTCAACGAACTTTTCAAAATAAACGACAAATAACAATAGTTTTTTTCCACGCCGTATCAAACTACACATCCGAGGGACCATTTCATTTCAAATTTTGATGCGATAATCACCATTAAATTAGCTGCATAATTGGAATCATCACATTTCGCGCAATTTGCCAACGCTTTTAGAGATGTTGAAGTAAGTAAGATTTTATTTCATAATCTACGAGATAATGCTATAGTGGGCATATGTAATTTGGTATTGGCTTCAGCCGAACACTAATTAGTGCCTAATTAGCCCGTTAAACTTGACCCCATTTCCCTGCACGATACTGTATCAACCGATAAAGTATCAAAAATCAACCGATTAATTATCAGTATGGGGAAAAGGTGTACACAAATGTTTGTTTTATGTCCTATATATCCCGCCCCACTTTTTGACCGGGGAGGGGGGCTGGGCTATTGGATCACCCCCCCCCCCCTCCCATCATTTCGTTTTTAGAGAAAAAAAAGGCAGATTTTTAGGTATTTTTCAAACTTTCCAACCGCCGAAATGTATTAAATAGTACTGAGAAAAGGAGTACAAGAAGTACAAAAAGCTTGAAATCCACTGATATATCTGTATCATGAACAGCGCCCCCAGTGTCATGTGGTCTCCAGCAAGCCCCCCCCCCCCCCCCCCCTTTTTGAATTTCACGGCCCGATTTTTTTGGGGGGTTTAGCTATCCCCCATCCCCCAGTCCCCGGCATAGATTTACGCCACTGTTGCAATGGCGGACCCAGGAATGTTCGCAGGAGGGGGTTTCATCAGCAAACAAATCTGAAAATGTACACAGGTTTTTTTTCTCCGGACACTTGGCCTCCGTAAAATCATAAATTGGGGGTACCATAGGGGGCGCTGTTAAAATTCGACGATTATTAACCCTGGATTACAGAATGGTGTACAAAATAATACCCCTATCTAAGTTGCCTCTGTCCGTATTTTGAACAGACGGACATTATACCTGTATGTTTTTGTTGGGGATGGTGTCACAGCTGGGGGGGGGGGGGGGGGGGGGGGGGGGGTTCGACCCCTTACCCCCCCCCCCCCGATCCGCGCCTGTGTTGGCCTCAAGGGTGCGGCAGGCTCGTGACGTTTGGACTGCAAACTGTCAGTGGGTGGACAAATAACAAATGACGTCACATGCCAACGGTGCCCCCCTCCCTTAAAACAAAATCCGGGGCATTTGTATACGGTACAGTAATATAGTGTACATGATTGTAGTATATCTCGTAGATTATAAAATAAAACTGCAAGTTTGTTTGGCAAAAATTATGTGAGGTACACTTTGTTTTAAAGAGGTAGTGATATACGCAGCAGAATTCGCATTACAATAGTGCAGTAAAAATGGCGTAGCTTTAACGGGCTAATTAGGCACTATTACTTTTTGGCTCTAGCCAATACCAAAATTAAGTGTGCCCAGTCACATGAGCTCGTAGATTATGCAATACAATTATGGGTTTTTGGCAACGTGAGGAGGTACACCTGTTTTAAAGGAGCAGTGATATACGCAGTTTAAAAGAATGCATTCTGATAGTGCCGGGAAAATGGGGTCACTTTAACGGGCAATATAAGGCACTAATTAGTGTTCGGCTGAAGCCAATACCAAAATTAAGTGTGCCCAGTCACATGATCTCGTAGATTATGCAATAAAATTATGAGTTTTTGACAACATGTGAGGTAGACTTTGTTTCAAATGATACATTAACTTTCCAACATCTAAAAGCGTTGAAAACTTGCGCGAAATGTGATGATTCTCATTATGCAGCTAATTTAGTTGTAATTATTGCATCAAAATTTCAATAATGGTTGATGAAATGGTAGCTCATGTTGTGTATTTTGATACGGCGTGGAAGAATATTGTTATGTGCCGTTAATTTGAAAAGTTCGTTGAATAAAAGAGTTATCTTTCTGGTTATAGATCACCTTTTGCCGCATGTATTATAGATTCTTTGACTTTTGGCGAATGCGCGGCTAGAATACGCAGCCAGAAATCCGGCCGAATCCGTAGCTACCTGAGCCAGATCTATTAACGCGTACATATCATATCAACGGGCGAGTCTGCATGTTTTCCCCATAAACATGGCCATGGACGCCTACTCGTATTCTCCCCGTGCATGTTACACTGTCTTAATCATACTAACTCTCGTGTATCGTCAAAAGATAGTGCTTGCTGAAGAATGGGAATGTCACATGGAAGAAGGAAATTGTGATTCAAAAGATAGTTTCGAGGACGGAAAGACCAAATATCATCTAAATAGGCCTACCAACCCGGATCCAGGTAATAAAAATAAGATAGGGCCTAGGCCTAGTAGGCCTAGTGGATATTTTGCCGGAGGTAATGCCGGCAAACTAATGTTTACTAAAGGTTTGCCGGTGTGGAAGGTAATTCTGTCCCCCAGTAAAAGTGTCCGGGGAGGGGGGGGGGGGGGGACAGAATTACCTAGGTAAAAGTTAGCTGCACTTATGGTCCCAGTCTGGTCATGGTACCAGAGTTACCCAGCCCTGAATTTTATCATTGGGTTGTCTACTCCTAGAACTATGAGGCTCCGCGTGAGCGGAGCCTCATAGATCAAGAAGCCCGCAAAATTGCCTGCAGCACAAAACACTAATAAAGTACAAAAACGTCCATCAAAATGCAGCCAGCCATTTCACACAGAACCGCTGCACAGTTTGCCCCTATACTCCGTACTTTATTTCTTGACATACTCACGTATCTTAGGCCAAAATGATGAAAAATATGCCCTTTCCGCACTGAGCCAACCTGACACTTGAAACGTGCACGCATATGATCGAGCGATGATTTTCGGTTCGCTCGGAGCGCGCCGCGGGGGTACGGTACAGGCGAAATGATAGTATGTGCTGCGTACAAGTGCATGTACCGTACCCCCCGCGGCGCGCTCCGAGCGAACCGAAAATCATCGCTCGATCATAATGCGTGCACGTTTCAAGTGTCAGGTTGGCTCAATGCGGAAAGGGCATATTTTTCATCATTTTGGCCTAAAAACCGACAGAATCCACCTATGTTAGTTCCGCACAAGATACGTGAGTATGTCAAGAGATAAAGTACGGAGTATAGGGGCAAACTGTGCAGTGGTTCTGTGTGAAATGGCTGCATTTTGATGGACGTTTTTGTACTTTATTAGTGTTTTGTGCTGCAGGCAATTTTGCGGGCTTCTTGATCTATGAGGCTCCGCTCACGCGGAGCCTCATAGTTCTAGGAGTATGGGTTGTCATCTAGGGCTGGAGCTTATAGACTTCACCGTACTCCGAATCAAAACATTGTGTTCACGTATCATCTAATAGACTAAATTAAATATTTTTTATATTCATGAAGGGCAGACTAAAAGTCCAAAATGTATACCTTGTAGATCTATAGAGTGAATTCATCAAAACAATAACCTTCCAGGTTTCAAAAGAGGGGGATAAAAAAACCTGGGGGACAGAATTACCTGGAGGGGACAGAATTACCTGGAGGGGGACAGAATTAACGGGCCAGGGAGGACACTTTTACCTAGCTGGAGTTATCCAGCCCTGAATTTTATCATTGGGTTGTCATCTAGGGCTGGAGCTTATTTTTTTACGTAACCGAGCAGCGTAGGCAGGTCCCAAAAAAAATTGAAAAAAATGTTGGAAAATGTTCAATTTTGTCCCCGTTACACACTAATTGCAACTGCAACTCACCCCAAACTTGCCTGGAATAACCATTACACAGGTCCTTGAAGTAAAAAACGATCCACGATGAAGATTCAGCCTACAATTGCAGTGAAAAAAGGAGGAATAACCGCTAACCTGACAACCTTGCGGGCATGGCCAGGACCGCAATTGGTTTGTGCACAAAAAAAATTGTGTACAATTAGAATTTCCATTGTAGAGGGAGACGCATATGTATACATGTTATAATCATTGCCTCAAATCTTGCAGCATGTACTGGCGCGTGCGCGTTATGCGACACGCTGCTGCTCTCAGTACATACTGCATGGGGACACATTTTATTTGAAGCGATCCGGAACTAGCAAAACGACTGTAATATAAATAAGGGATAAATATGTGTTCGAGAGATATTATAACACTCTGTTTAAGACCGTAACAAGTCGTCAGTTTTGGTAGACTGTTTTTAAATTTGTCAAAAAAAAGGTTGAAAAGATTCATCAGTAAACATTCCACAATGGTCCACCAAAACTGACAACATAGTTGTATCGACACAGCCAGCGTAATTCAGCACTAAGGTTGAAACGATATGCCTGTGTCACGATACGATACGTATCACGATACATATCAAACGATACGATATATATCGCGATATATTTTGGTATAAAAAAATAAATAAAATCATAACAGATGAACTTACCAGGGTCTAAGTCCTCTTTAATCTGTCTCTACTCGTTTCTGATAATACACAAATACATTAAAGGTACTACCGTAATTTTCGGAATATAAGCCGCGCGGCGTATAAGCCGCAGCATGCAAAAATCTGCAAATTAAGATCTGAAGTCGGCGTATAAGCTGCACCGGCGTATAAGCCGCACCGACAGCAGCGGTTTCAATTTTGTAAGGCCTCCAAATTCTAGTCAAAATGCTCTGAACCAGTTCCATTTACACTACAAAGCTATAAAAAGGGCCACAACAGTTATATCAAATCATTTACAATCGATACTCTTACAAACAATTATGGAAATTGATGATGAGGCCAAACAAAAAAAATGGTGTGTTTACGGTAACCCGACCGACCTGGAATTTTTTCGGCCAAATTGCCGACCTCAAACTTTTTATTGCCATTTTGAAGGTTGATAATTGACAAATTTCAAACATTTCAAGTACTTTTAATTATTTGCCACGAACAAAACATTTTTCACACTTGAATCTGACCATGATTTGACACAAACATACCTGTGTTAAACGTGCAAAAATCGCGACGATCTCAAAAACTTGAATTCTCAAACTACGAAGTACGATTATTTTTGCACAAATGCATCGGGTACGCCTGGCTGGCCGACGGACGGCATGGTTCTCCCCACGTACAAACGTGCGTTCTGCGTATCGGTCCGATATGCTGGAATTGCGGCCGGCCCGATACGCCGACAAAAAAATGCCGATCACATTTTTTAGCCCCTGATACGCACAATATAATTATCATACACGCCATTAAAATGCACAATTTGATCATTACATACGCCATTATTTCAAAATCTTGGCCAAAATCCTGTTTTTCCGATGCATGTGTGATCAAAATGCACACGATGACGTGTTCTGTCGACCACCAGCAGCACCCAGCTAACATACAGCATGGTACACTGGTTCCCTTCGCCAGCTAACGGAATCAATGTATGATGAAGGACCGGAACCAGTGACTACTGCCTCTCTCCGGTCCATACTTTGTATCATACAGCACGATGATGTAGTGGGCCGAAGTTGGATCGTAAAAATATTACCAAATAAACATCGCTGGAGAAAGAGAATTTCTGCGAATTAATTCACAGAACGTGATCTTTACTTTCTGTGTATGTGTTTTCCATTAAAATGACGAGATTGCAAAGCTCCAACTTGTGGTGAAACATCGTAGCGTGTTTCTGCAGTAGTGCAAGATTTTCGGCCACGTGGGCCGTGAGCACGGCGCGATGTTGGGCCAGCCAGGCGGAATGTTGGTGGTGCCAGCGGCCGTGATGTATGTTAAGCATATAGTGGAATCACCGACCTCAAATATATTTTTAATTAGGTGAGGCAAGTTTTAATCACTTTTGATAGCCAGTCTTGATAATTTTCGTGGCGCATATGAAAATAACCCAGGCACAAAATAAACATGATTCCTTGCTCTATGATTAGTACGAATGATGCTCCATTAATCAGCACCCCAAAAAAAATTGGCGAAATAATTTTTTGACCTACTGACGCTATTTTGAAAGGCATGTAATCGGAAGCAAAAGTTGTTTTTTTCTCCACCTTAATTTCTTAATTTTAAACTTACATGTAAATGTAATTCATACTTTTCTAGTTAGGAAGCAATGAAACACAGGTTGTGAAATGTTAATTTTTTGATTTTTGTTCTTTAATTACAAAAATATTAGTGACCTACAAGATCTCCTCTGAATTTCAATGACAAATCTTAAGATAAAGACCCTCAGATTAGCTCTAAAATACACCAGAGAGCTTCTAAAGTTCAAACCTTTTCGGGTTGTTGAATCACAGCAAATCTTCCCCCACACGTTTGTAAAAATCCTGGGGAGAACCCTGGCCGACGATACAAATTAATTTGGATTGAAATGTATCGATTGAATATCTTCAATGCTTGAATAGTGGTTTTATACAATTTTTTTGCGAAAGAACACGCATGGGCATGCAGAACTGAAATAAAAAAAAAATTTACAAAATAAAATTATTTCCCTACCTACCTACCTGGATTTTTTTCAGGCCGTTACCATAAACACACCATTTTTTTTGTTTGGCCTGAGAAATAAACTACGGGAATTACTGCCGGCTGCCCCGTCCGGTCCCCGGCCTTAAAAGTTAATGCATGGCCCGGCAGCCTGCGCCGGTGAGCGCTACAAATCTTGCTTTTGTGAAAACAGTTGCTGATTTGTTTTGCCCTAAGACTAAACAGGTCCCGTTTTACCTCAAAACTTATCAAATTTGTGTGATTACTAGCGAGTAATTACGTTGAAAGTTCAAGTTTCGATCGTAACTTTCTTCAAAAAATCAAAACCAAAGATCTTGTCCTGTAGCGCCGTAGGGAACGATGCTAACATTTTCATGGGCGAATCAATTAATTTTGCAAGGGGTGATTCAGTCCCCTTTTTTCATTTTACATCGTTTCTTGAATACATTTCAAGAAAAAAAATATATATTGTGACGTTGAACAACTTATTATCTAATAAAGAAATATTTCGAACACCATAACAAGTATTAGTCGTCATTTTTCTTTTTTTAATCAGCGGAAATATTGGTAATTATTGTTCCCAAGAAAGAACACCACCCCTTCATTACCACAAATGGTGTGGTCCGCTGGGGAATTACGGTACAGTACCGATCACTCTACCTACCACCGGTTAACGGTAACCAATGGTTACCTATAATCCTCCCGCTAATCTTGTTGCGTTTGGACGAAAGGGCGCAAAACAGCATTCTTATCCCACTGGTAAACAGTCTGGTCTGCGGTCAGGTTAAGGTCGTAAACTTCCTGTCTTCATTGAATCCATAAACAACGTTCCCTCCTGCAGCAGCCTACACATCGTTTTATTGTTCCAGTACACGCACTTGTGGTTAGATAGTGCAGTGGTAAAATCC